GTGAAGCTGGTGGATCGTCGCCATATGTTCTGGTCGTCGAAGCACGCCTCCTAATACTCCAAACTGTTTCTTGAACAAATTTGGTATCACTTCGGTGATTGGTAGCTCATTATCGATTAAGCTGAGCACTGTATCGTGACGGGAGGCCGGAATGTAGACGTTTGCGTAAAACTTCCACAATGCCACGAGATGGAGAGCACGGTTGACCCGCATGAGTGCGAGTATAGAGCGATTGTTGCATAGCTCGATAATGGTGCGCAATAGTTCGATGGGCAGCGAGAAAATGTTGACGGTTGCATCTGGCTTAGCCGGTGGGATATTGGTTAGACTGTAAAGATTGTCGTCGGCTGGCAGAGCATCCCAAAGGTCAGACCAGGTATCCATTTGATACCTTGTTGGAGGATTTTTGGTGGTAGGGTCTAAAGCGTAAGGGGCAAGTGGATTTTATAGAACCTCGGCGCTTGTGCGGAGAGTCAGCCTTCTAGCGCGGCTCTGGAACCGACAAGTACTCAAGAACACGGTTGCTCTCATTGCATGACTCAGTGATAGCGTATTCTCAACGTGAGTAGGGCTGACCCGTTTTACATTGGTCGGTCGAAAGGACAAAGTCGGAGTACTAAAGCATGAATAATACGACTCACGTCGATCTTGGTAGCGGGTGTCAGGTCGTCAGCATAAACAGGCAGAGATGAGCTATGGAAGCAACAAGAGTCAGCATTAACCAGATGCATACGAGAGGAGAGAGATATTATATTATAGGGTGAGGCATTTAATCCCGAGAGGCCTGATAATGGACCTTGCCATTATTTACAATTTGAAAGAGGTGCCTATCAAAGTCAATATCTAACGTGGAAATCTCAGAAAGATACACTAGTACTAGTTGGCCGATGCTTGGAAGGGTTGCACCAGGCCATCGGTCTATCATAGCTTGCCGTGTAGCTGAGGGCAGACCAAAGGTAGTCAGCCAGAAATGCCACCCTTCCCAATCAAAGGGATCCGGTGTCCAGATACATGCATCTCCTCTCACATCTCGGGACCGTTCGATGACAGAAGGAGGTGCAGCTTTCCATACGGCTTCCTGGTACTTGTCCCATGGATTCAGATGGCCGAAAACAATCGATTCCAGCCGGTTGTTTACCCGACAGAAGCTTTCTATAGCCTCGCGTTCTTCGTCCTTGTTATAGCCTACACGGCTTCGATGATCCTCCAATGTGACGCTGGTCAGCTGTGGTAGTTGGCTTATCATACGACCATGTGATTCGATTGGCACCTAAAGATATTAGCAGACTGATTACGAAAGCGTCATTATAATGCCTACTTCGCTATTTGAGCCACATCCACAGTACCCGTAACGAAGGGTGTTGAGGTGAAGGAATTTGGATGCAAATTCGTCAATTTTTTCAAATGATAGGTCAGGGTCTCCCATTGGGACATGAATGATGCAGCGGAAGTGACGCAGACTTGACCCCCATTTCTCTCCAAGCTCCTGGAGTTCGCCGAGGGGAGCACATTGGGACGTGATGCAAAGCGAGTATAGGTGGGCACTGAGAGGGATTGCTGAAATCAGGTTTTTCTGAAGGTTTGGAATGGATATATGCTTGAGGCTGGAGCGAATAACTACGCCATTATAGGCTGTGTCTGGGATAGGGTCGCAGTTGGCAAATGTTAGGTGTTGAAGAGATACAGCCCCGTCTAGTGCATAATGAAAGAGTTGGTGGAGCCGGTCGACAGTGTCCGTTTGTGACCACTGAAGTTTGACTATATGAAGTTGACGAAGAAAGCTAAGGTGCTGTCTTTGCTGAGTGAGAGCTCTTAGGACTTTCACTTGATGTTGGTTGAGGCGACACAATTTCGTTACTTCTGAAGGCTTTGGTGATGGCCCTTTGCTACAGTAATCTATGTGAAGGTGGATGGTGGCGTAAAGTCTCCGCAAGACCACATTGCACAGAGTTCGGTTAGTCTGCAAAAGTGGAAACAGAGAACGTGTGTTACAGTATTCGACGATGAGTTCGAGGAGTTCTACAGGCAAGGATAAAAGAGTGGTAGTGTCATCTGGTTTGGCTGGTGTAATGTTAGCCAAAGCAAATATGCTACCGTCGATGGGTAATGCTTCCCAGAAATTGGATGGTGCGTCCATTAACAGGGGCTCTTTTTTTGGGTCAAAGGAGTAGAGAGCAAGGTCGAATCATTCAAAGCCAAATGTTTGATTCAAGCGGTCGGGTTGAACACGGTATCCCTCCAAACGAAATGACACCATTATTCCAGGGTGCGACCGGCCTCGCCAAATCAGGAAACCACAGCCACAAGCCCAAAAAATCATAAAATCATTAGAACGTGCAATTTGGGGTCAGAACGAGAAAAAAACATACATTTAGGTACAGAGAAATGCATAGAATCATCTCGACAGACTCATGTGCTGGTTTGTCGGGGGTTATAGAAAATACGAAATTTCCGAGTTCCTGGTACTGACTTGATTCCGAACACTCGTAAACATGATATTTTGAGACCTTATACTGTTATCTTTCGATTTGAACCTCTCAAAAGATCGTCCGAGGTATTGTTTTCCCTCACCTCCCCCTTGTTCCTTCTCTTTGACTTGACAGACTCGTTTCCTGGCCACGCCAAAGCTGTAAGGGTGATCAATGTGCTTTTCAATTACCATCTACATTGAAATTGAAGCTGAAGGCATGCCTAGGTACACAGAATCGAGGAGGAGTTTGTAAGATTCGAGGGTTTTTGGAGACTTATGGGCGCAAATCGAGAGTGAATAATTTTAAATTTGTAAATGCAATGTTGTGAATACTTTAGCTGAGAGGGGTACACGCTATGGAATTTACGAGTTTTTTTGACTTGTGGTTGTGGTTTCCCGATTTGGCGAGGTCGGTCGCAACCATGCACATTCTACACT